TTACGGGGGATAACACAGGTTTACAGGTGATAATACAGGTTTACAGGGGATAATACAGGTTTACAGGGGATAATACAGGTTTACTGGGGTTTATAAAGGTTTACAGGGAATAACACAGGTTTACTGTGGTAAGTACAGGTTTGTTAACAAGAGCTAATACGGGTTTACAGGGGATAACACAGGTTTATAGGGTAAAATACTGGTTTGTTTACTAGAACTGATACAGGTTTACAGGGGATAATACAGGTTTTCAGGGGAAAATACAGATTTACAGGGAATAAAATAGGTTTACAGGGGTTAATACAGGTTTTCAGGGGATAACACAGGTTTATAGGGGAAATTACAGGTTTGTTTACTAGAACTCATTCAGGTTTACTGGGGATAATACAGATTTACAGGGCTACAGATTTACAGGGGATAATACAGGGTTACAGGGGATAATACAGGTTTAACGTGGACAATACAGGTTTACAGGGGATAGTACAGGTTTACAGGGGATAATACAGGTTTACAAGGGATAATACAGGTTTACAAGGGATAATACAGGCTTATTGGGGATAATACAGATTTACAGGGGATAATACAGATCTACAGGGGAAAATACAGATTTACAGGGGATAATACAAGCTTACTGGGGATACTACAGGTTTCTAGGGGATAATACAGATTTACAGGGGATAATACAGATTTACAGGGGATAATACAGGCTTACTGGGGATAATACAGATTTACTGGGGATAATACAGATTTACAGGGGATAACACAGGTTTCTAGGGGATAATACAGACTTACTGGGGATAATACAGGTTTCTAGGGGATAATACAGATTTACAGGGGATAATACAGGTTTACTGGGGATAATACAGGGTTACAGGGAATAATACAGGTTTACAGGGGATAATACAGGTTTACAGGGGATAATACAGGTTTATAGGGGATAATACAGATTTGTAGGAGATATAACAGGTTTATACAGGATAATAATTAGTTTCATTGGGAATATTACGTTTCAAAAATTTTCACATCACTTAATTTCTGTATTAATGCAGGGGTTTCCTTGTATAATAATGATAACAATTTTATTTGGGGACTTAGCCCCCATAGCCACCCTGCTGACTACGCCTCGTCTTAAATTCAAGTTTAATATGTTTAGGGAGCTGATCAGCAATGCATAATTGGTCTACTGGCCAAGATGGCGGTGGATAGATCGTTAAATTAAAGTTTAATATGTTTAGGGAGCTGATCAGCAATGCATAATTGGTCTACTGGCCAAGATGGCGGTGGATAGATCGTTAAATTCAAGTTTAGTTGATGCTAAGGAAGCGTTTATTAACGCCTGTATAGATTCAATATCAAGGTAAGGACTTCGGAGTTTCATACAATACCACCCATTAAACTGTGCTATGTAAAGACGACATAATTGTGGAATAGGAAGACGACATTTCAGCTATATTATGCGTATTTTTATGTTTGTGTAATGTAATTCGTTTGTTCAGTAGACCTAAAGAGTAAATGTGTTCTGTGTTCATTGCACAGTGCACATTGCACAATCTTGTTTTTATAGTCATTGGGTTATTTCATATTTTAACAGACGTCTCCCAAGTCCAAAGTTTCATGGTTCCCACTGTATGTCGACGCATGGTTAATGGAAAAATGCAGTCTATTTTGATCTTTCTTGTCAATAACACTGCAAAGCACAACTTTTTTAGAGGAAAGGGTGTTAAAGGGACTGTAAGTGTATCACTAAGTGACCCTCCATGATAAATGCCAATGTCCGATTTACAATTGTATCCCCAAAAACCTTTAAATTTGTATTGTGGTTTCTTTAAAAAAGTGGCTTGCACATTTCCACTTTAGGAAAATCATGGGAAAAACCAATATCAAACACTATTCAAGCTAAATTCAACGTTATCTTTCGCATTGATGATGAGAAAAAAGAGTAAGGGTACTGTTGAGAATCTGGCATTTGGATTTTCAAGGATGGTTATTCGAGTTTGTGTCTCCAGTCCCTTTAATAACCAAGTTTTGAAGAAATGAACCTCATATTAAGTTTTTTTTTTCTAGATGGAAAATGATTCAGTGTATCTCACAGCCTGGAGTTCTTCCAATCAGTCCTAGTCTAGCTCTTCTCCCTCTTTATGTTCTAGCTCTGCTCAAATCCCAAGCTTTCTCAGCTAGGTATAGTTCATAAAGTACATACAGAACACGGTACACAGTACACGTTTATGTTCTAGCTCTGCTCAAATCCCAAGCTTTCCGTTAACCGGGAGGGAGATTCT